AGCATCAAGTTTGCCATAAGCAATAAAGTCAGGGCCCCCAAAGAAATTTTAATATATTTCCCCATTTTTAACTTGGAGCTTTCCATTATTCAGTTATTTTGTTTGGGATCCCATGTTTAGTTGATATACCTTTTACACTCACATAAATAATTTACGGTTTTAATGTGAGATAAATTTTAAATAGATTAATTATTCAATAGGGAAGTTTAAGGGTCATCCTATATAAAGTGAAAATCTTAGTGATAACTTCAATTTTACACTAACAACCTCTCTAAAGGTTGTATTTTACATTTCAGTGGGCTTGGGGCATTTTTCTCTAACAAGAAGATAAAAGAAATATATGGAATAAAGTGACTTTCACTAAATGGTGTGCAACATAAAACGGAAGCACATGTCTATAAAATTCTGTAAGAAGAAAAAAATGAAGCAGGAAAATAAGAAACAAGTTAAATTAAAAAATTCTTATTGCAGAACGAATCGCTGTTAGAGGGTATGAAGATGAAAAAAGAACAGTCAAGAAACTCATAAGCTAGTAGACATAAGTCCTTAACTATAAATGTAAAGGTGATTTATTTGTCACAAAAAGGAAGAAACAAAGTATTAGGGCAGTTCATCCGATGTGGTTAATTGTATAAGAGAATTTGAATTCAATCTTGAATCAGGGGTAAGATGTAAAAAGTACAAAAACCGGAAGAAGAAAGGGAGACAGATAAGACAGAATAAGCAAAGGCAGGGGAGGTGAGAAGCAGAAGGCATAGGAAGAGGGTATCCTGTGGTTCTGCATTCCTGGAGCAGAGGATACATGGAGGGGAGTCCTAAGAGTGGGACTGAAAAAGGATGTTATGGCAACATGTCAGACTTTCCTCAATTCATGGCTAAACATCTTGTTTATTTAGAAAACAATGTAACACTACCATGCATTTTTGTGAGAGAAACAAAAACTGGAAAGGAAAATCAACACGGCTCTGGAATAGAACATGGGAGAATGAAAGCAAAGAGCACACTTGAAGAAGTTCCATCTTGTCCAAGAGTTTGGTCAGTAACAGTTTTTTTAAAAAAAGATTTTATTGGGGAATTGGGGGAGGGGAACAGACAAGATGCTGTCCTTTTGTTCTGCATTCTAGCTGTGGAGGATGTTGCTTCACTGGCCCATGTTGGCATTGTGATCATTGCGCTCTTCACAGGTGAGGCAGTCCCTCGCTGGCCATTGGACAGCTGCTCATGGTGGCTCACAGTGGCTCACGCTGGCTGCCAGTCACGGTAGCTCACGGCAGCCCAATGCAGCAGGGGCTGCGGCTTATGCAGTCGCCTCATGGCAGCCCAGCTCCAGGTCGAGCTGTTGTTCACCATCTTAGCTGTAGAGGGCGCAGCGTCAACCGGCCCTCATGCGGGATCTGAACCAGGGCCCTGATGCTCAGAGCTGGTGTTCCAAGCCAACTCCTAACCAACGCACCACTCGGCCGGCTCCAGATACAGTTTTAAGTAGAGATGGGCATGGAGATGGAATGGTTTAAGAGACATGTATTAGAACTAACATATAAAGGATTAGATAACCAATTGAATGTTCAGAGTAAAGAAGTGAAAGCTGTAAGAGATGATGCCAATATTCTGTGCCTGAGTTACTAGGGGAAAAAACAGTTGTGTTACATGCGAAAAACAGGGAAAAAGCATACTTGGAGGGGAAGATGCATTCAAGGTTTGTACATAATGAGATTGATACATATAATTGGCAGTCATATCCAGCAGCTACCGTATTTGCCGGCGTATAAGATGATTTTTTGGCCCTGAAAAATATGCCTCCAAGTGGGGGGTCGTCTTATACGCCAGGTACACTTCAGATAGACTGCCCATAGTGCTTGCCCCGTGCCATAGTGGCCTCCCGATGCCCGCCCACTTCATTCCACATACCGTTCAGGCATCAGCAGCACTGCTGGGTGTATGGTCGGCTGTGTGCGATTTTGCGAGTGTGGTAAATTCGGGTTACCGTATATTTCTTTACATATGCATTGAAGATTCGCGATTTTGCGCTATCATGGTGCCTGTTAGAATGTTGAAGAGCTCGCACTTGCGCACTAGTGAGGTCCCAGGGAGATGCTGATGCAAGGGTGGACCAGACTGCTATAGTGACAGGACGGGCAAACAGGGAGCAGGGACCAATCAAATCAGGCTTTGTATACAGCCAACAGCCAACCACAATACTGCACCATTGTACAGTACAGCATAGAAAATGTCGACCAGTCAAACCCCTATCATCCCTATCATGGCACCAGCCAAAAGAAAAGTATGATGCAAATTTTAAACTGAAAGTTATAAACTTTGCTAAGGAAAATAATAATTGTGCTGCTGCAAGACAATATGGAGTAACAGAAAAGATGGTTCGGGACTGGAAATCAAATGAGAAAGCATTAAAGAGTATGCCAAGGGACGTGTGCATTAAGAAGAGGCACCCCACACTGGCCAGAACTCGAAAAACATGTAGCAGACATGGTGACTCAACATCGCCAAAACGGTTATGTGGTGACACGAAATACAATACGCTTGTTTGCACTTCAGTGGGCCAAATCAAATCTGATATTGTTTTACCTTTTATTTGGTGTGTGGAAGGTGTGCGGAAGAGGGGGTAGTCTTATACGGCGAGTATATAACAAACTCTGTATTTTGAGTGGAAATGTTAGGGGGTCGTCTTATACGCCCAGTCGTCTTATACGCCGGCAAATACGGTAATCAGAAGTAAGGATCTAGAGTTAGGAGGCAGAGTATATATTAGTAGAAACACCAGAAAGAGAATGACTTGAGAATCATCTGCACAGAAGTAAAAACTGAACTTGTGGGAAAAGACAAAATTCCAGAAAGAGAAAATACTGAAGAAAGAATGGAGCCATAAAAACAATTTAAGGCATGTTGAAGGTAATAAGCAGAGAAGTGACTGAAGGAGATAAAAGAAATCTTGAGAGAAGTCAAGTCAGAATGGTGAGAATAGCGTGATGATATGTAAGCATTATAGGGGACATTTTCAAAGAGATAGTGGTCAATAGTATCAAGGAAAAAAATTAAGGATCATAAAGATTGAGAAAAGACCAACAGCCATTCCACAAAGAAATGAGGTCAAGCTAGATTCCAAATGTATCATAGAGGGAATGGAAACTAAAGGAATTTAAGGAACCGATTTTCAGAGTGGTATTCAAGGTACTACATTCAAGGTCTCACTATTATTTGGGGTAGAGTGTTAATTAATTTGTTATCATGAGTTTGGAATGACAATGTGATTTTGATAAAACACTTGGAAGAGTACCTATCACTTTTGCCCTCTAGCATTTACTTACCTTTCTTTGGTTAATTGTACTTTGTTTTCCCTCTAGAGAATCGCCTTCTCCACTATCAGTGGGTTCAGGAGTAATGCTGGTGACTTGGCCAAAGCTTTGCTCAAGCCACTGCTATGCAATGGGATTTCTGAAATGAGAACTCTCACTATTTCTCTCTGGATCCACACTAAGAATGCCACCTCAAAACCTGTATTCGCAAAAATAATATAAACCCTAAAGGGAGCAACAATTAACAAATTAACTTATAACAATGAAAATAAAAAAAGATGTCTAAGCAAAACTCTGATGAAAAAAATCAAACGAGAACCAAATAAATGAAGAGATATTCCACGATCATGGGTAGGAAAACTAAAGATGTCAGTTCTTTCAAATTCGATCTATAAATTCAATGTGATTGTACTCGAAATCTCAGCAAGTGACTTTGTGGCCATTAACAGACTGATTTTAATGTTTATATGGAAACATAAAAGATCTAAAATAGTCAAAACAATATTAAAAGAGAAGAACAGAGTCAGAAGACTGACATTACCGGACATACCACAAAGCTATGGTAATCAAGGAATCACAGTATTGGTGAAAAAAAAATAGATAAATAGATCAATGGAACAAAATAGAGAACCCTGAAATAGGTGCACACAAATATAGTCTACTGATCTTTGACAAAGGAGTAAGGCAATATAATGGAAAAAAAGATAGTCTTTTCAATAAATGGTGCTACAACTGCCACACATATTTAAAAAAAGAATCTAGAACCAGGCCTTATACCCCTTTACAAAAATAAACTCAAAATGGATCATAGATCAACATGTAAAATGTAATACTATAAAATACCTAGAAAATAACAGGAGAAAATCCAGATGACCTCAGGTTTGGCAATGACATTTTATATACAGCACCAAAACCATGATCCATGAAAAAAATACTGATAAGCTGGACTTCATTAAAATTAAAATCTTCTCTGTGAAAGACACTGCCAAAACAATGAGAAGACAAACCACAGACTGGGAGAAAATATTTGCAAAAGATATACCTAATAAAAAAATTATTTTGTGAAATATACAAAGAACTCTTAAAACTCAATAAGAAAATAAAATAAAGTTTGATTAAACAATTGGCAAGTGATCTGAACAGACACCTCACCAAAGAAGATAAGAAATGGCAAATAAGCATATGAAAAGATGCTCTACATCATAGGCCATCAGGGAAATGGAAATTACAACAATGAGATACCATCATACACCTGTTAGAATGGCAAAACAAAACAGACGCCAAATGCTGACCAGGAAGCGCAGCAACAGGAATTCTCATTAATTTCTGGTGGGAATGCAAAATGGTCCTGCCACTTTGGAAGAGGTGGTTTCTTGCAAATTAAACATATTCTTACCATCTAGCAACGGTGCTCCTTGGTATTTACCCCCCAAAATTAAAAACTTATATCTACACAAAAACTTGCACATGGATGTTTTATAGCAGCTTTATCCATAATTGTAAAAACTTGAAAGCAACCAAGATGTCCTTTAGTAGATGAATGGATGCGGTATATCCAGATGATGGACTATTACTCAGAACCTAAAAACTCGTGAAAAGACATGGAAAATTCCTTAAATGCATATTACTAAGTGAAAGAAGCCAATCTAAAATGGCAACCCACTGTATGATCCCAACTATAGGACATTATGGAAAAGGCAAAACTATGGAAACAGTAAAAAGATCAGTGGTTACCAGGAGTTGGGGGAGGGGGCGGCATAAGCAATGAATAGGTGGAGCGTGGAAGAGTTTGGGGCAGTGAAAATACTCCGTAATTTGAATGTATTGAAAACAAAATAGATACAGCATTTTGGTTTGACATCCAGTAGAATAAACCTGACTGGCTAAATAAGTGCATTTTCATCCTCACTTTCAAGGGCCCCTGCATCACGACACTATTAGCAAAATGAGAGCAGCAAAGGGAAAAGGAGTGTAATGAAAGCTAAGAAATGTTACAGAAATGGGGGTTGCAGATGGGGTCAAGGGGGTTGCAGATGGGGTCAAAGGAGAAGAAAAGGCACATATCGCAGGTGTCGTGGATAGTATGTGTCAACAAGTCAGAGAAAGAGTGAATCCCGAATAAAGTGACAATATTAAACATGACATTCACATTTCCCCAATTAGTCAATGGTTCTATTAACTTTTTCTGATAAAGACATATATTTCTAAGAGTCAAAAAAATGAGATAAAGCTGGACATAATAATTGAGAAAATGCTACGTATTTTTTTTTCATATAAAAATGGCAGCTTAATATAAACAATGTTCGAAAATGCTTTTTAAGAATTATGTATATAATTAGATGTTCCGTAGTGGTCAGGCACTGGGGACACCTAAAAAAAAAAAAAAGAAAAGAAGGAAATGCATCATATTCATTCAGTGTCAGTGAATATCCCACCTTAGAGAAGTAACATTCTTTTCTGCAAGAGGAAAAATGGGGCTGTGACGACCAATGAAATATCAAAACAAAGTGAATAATAAGCTACAGAGGTACAGCTGAACATTCAACAGCCAACATGTCTAAACAAGAATTCAGTGTTTTTTTAATTTGTGTGTGAGCACCTGGCAGTAAAAGTGGCAGAGACCTAGAAATAAGGGGTTCCTTTTAGTGTGTCTGAAGGATGGTTGGATAGTATAGCTTCATTCTCTTGAAGGTTATCAGCTGTTTGCTAAAAGGTCACCAATAGTCAAATTCTAGCCAGATTCAGTGATCTACTTTCAATCTTGTCTATTCTAATTTTTCTGGAGAAATGACACCAATAGCTTTTCTCTACATTTGGCAACTTCCTCATGCTGAGATTTCTGGGATTACCACTTCTTTCCTCCCTTTGCCAATCCCCATTGACTGTTCAGGTTCCCTAATATATATATATATATATATATATATATAAAACTGTGGGTGTGCCTCAACACATGGTGATAGAATACTAAAGATGCAAAAGACTTTTTTCAATCCTTTACATCTCAGAGAGCAAACCTTTTAATCAAAGGGTCTAATCCAAACCTCTCCCTATTCAACAATACAGAGGGTGCCAAAAACATGTATACACATTTTAAGAAAGCAGAAAAACTATATTAAAACTGTAATACTCAATATACATTAGAAGAGGTGCTCAAAGTAGTTACCATCAGCGTAATTTTAATACAGGTTTTTCCTTTCTTAAAATGTGTATACATTTTTTGGCACCCTCTATATATCTTTAAATTGACATACTGTATCTTGACAATCAATGTATTTAAAATAAAACTCTTCGTCATACTTTTGCCTCACTTTCCATCTATTTGCCTTCTGTTACCTTGGATACTTTTGGAAAAGCTTTTATTTTTCCTTTTCTTGTCTTAATTTTTGCATAATAAAAATCTAATTCATCTTCAAACCTTTCCCCTAATTGTGCACAATTACCTAATTCTTATTTTGCTAGATAATTTAGTATTTGGTTATATATGGGGTCTTGTATTCTCCTTGATTAGTGTATATATGATTCCCTTTTCACCTGAACTACAAAGTCTTAAGAAATGTAATATCTTGTGTACCATATAGAGCTCTTAAAACTAAACATTTGCAAAATTCTTAGTTATTGACTGAGGATTTGGAAAAATATCACTAATGATAAAATCATTTTTTTACCCTTTCATCTATTGTTATAGTATTATATATACAGAGCCAATACACATATCTTGTCATTTGAAATCATTGTGAATCTAGGTTTACTTGCCTTGTCCTCCAAGTGCAATTCTAAAAAGCGTAGGTAAGCCACAGGTGCAAATGCATCAGCTGAATGTATGACTACTTCTGATGAATCCCTGAAAGACAGAAATTTGATAATGCATTTACCTACTATATACATTGTGGCAACTCACTTCTGCTAGTGACTAGAAGAGACCAAAACCCTTCATTTTGCATTTATTTCCCCCGATATACAATATTTAGTGACTGTCATCTATTTTTAATAATCCAATATTTAATTGAGAAAAGGACCGAGGATGCTAAACTTTCAATAAAAAGTAAAAAAGCTTTTCATCTTTATGGAGACACACAGTTCCATTTTCAGGTTCACTCAAAGCTCTCCGAACTATTTTGAGAACTTAAAACTCCTATTCAATTTCATTTTCAAAAATTTGCTTGGTATGGCCTAACCATTAAACAATAGTGCTTTATCTTCATTATTCTTTTCATTTTCAAGAGGTAATTCATTCAGTGTTTCACACAAAATCTCAATTATCCTTCACAAAAGCAGCGCTGGTGATGGTTTTAAGCTCTAGATGAACTCTTCACACTGCAATATCATTGCTATTAAAATTGATTGCCTGACATAGTAATTACCACATTCAGGTAAAATGGTATGAATTGCTTGCTGGCACCATATGGATACATGTAAATTAACTCAACTTTTATCAAAGATACCCTGTAAAGCACATCTGAATAACTAAGATTATGTGTGAAGTTCTAATAACTAATTATTTTTTATTGTTGTTTATTAAGAAAGCAATAGTGTTTTGCATTTCAACTGAAATTTAAAAATAGAAATTCTGTATATTTCTTAAATGCCTCAGGAACTGGTTCCGTTGTTTATATTAACACATTATTAGCATTTTAACTATTGTAGTACACAGCAAAATAAACTGTTACTTTATTTGAATTTTTGCCACTAATGTAAAATATGGTTTTTTGAATCAGCCCTTGTAATGAAAAGTTATTTAGTGGCAATAGAAGAAACCTCAAAATATTTGGCTTCAAAATACTAAATTTTCACGGGCAAAATGTGTTTACTTTTCCCCTTGAAAGATCAGAGACAGAGAAATAAATGTTTTATGGTAAAAAAAGAAAAAACAAACAAACAGTCAACTACTATTCATGAACCTTTAGTATCACGTATGCATCTGTTAGGGCTTAGGAAAATAACATTAAAAAGGGCTTTTATGACATTAAAAGGAAAGCGACTTATAATAGAAATAGAATCATTAAAGAGTCAGGATCCTAACAGAAAGACATAACCTGCCTTCACAGGCTACATCAACCAAAAGTTCCCTCCAGATATACGGAGTAGGAGGAGAAAGAGAAGAGGAGGAAGCCCTCTTGCTTTCGACCACCACCCCTCTGATTTGACCCTTCTTGGTTTGTTAGCTCTAGTCTTGCAGTTTCTCCATTTGCCCCGGAGTTGCCAGTGCTGGTCCTATCTTGGCTCATTAATCAGATTCAAATTCCAGTTTCTGTGTCTGATCTCACTCTGACATTAAATTTCAATCGCTCTGTTCCTGATGATCCCAGCCTTGGAAACTGACCCTGAGCCTTAATTACGCCTAATCTAGGCAGCTTGGTTTTGATATCCTTGACAATGGAGTGCACCAAAACTGTAATTAACCCAAACCAATGCTGTGTCAGTAGAAAGGGAGGCTGGTAGCAAATAGTTCACTTAATTGGTATAGTTACTGCATTCTGAATTAAATTATTATCCACAGAAAATACATAATATTCTGAGCACTAAATGAATAGAAATATGATTTGATGGATTCTATTAAATCCATAATATCTAACTGACCAACATCATTTCATTCGCTTATGCAAAGCCAGAGTCAACTGGGAGTGACCAGGTCTCAAATGAACACTTTTTAGTTTCAAACAGAATACTGTCACAATTGCTCTTTTCTCTTTCATACACTATCATCTGAAACTTGACTTTCAAGGAGCTGTGGTTTCGGTCTGCTTCCTGGATTTCTCTGAAACTGAGAGCAGGATCTGCTTTGGAATATCCTCAGAGTCACCCAGAAAATGAATACCAATTACACCACAACAAAAACGCTTCCCAGTTGGCTACCGTCCTCCCCTTTCCCTATTAATGCAAGTGTGCTCACTGCCTCTTCTACACTCCAGGCTTCTCTGTAGTCAAGAGCTGGCCTGGGTTCCCTTTCACTGCTGTGTCAGGCTTACCCCTGGCTAAAACTACAAAAGGGCGGCTGAGTCAGGCCTGAGCCTCTCTGCTGTGAAGCTAGGCTCCCGAGGTGTGAGGTCAGGTTCTACCTCTTCACTTCAAAAGAAAACAAAACAAAACAGAAAAAACTGGTATTATCTCTTGAGACTCAGCCATGGTTGGTTCTTACCTCTCCTCTAACAAGACAACCGCACACAGATATTCCCTGTGGACTCGCCATTATCCTCACAGACATTTCCAACGTCGCTTCTGGGAAGCCCCTGGCATCCCCAGACAGTGCTGGTTTTCTCCTTTATGGGCTTTGTAATGCATTTGTCGCCCTTTCAGAACACACCTACTATATTATAATTACATGTTTGTGTACTTGTCTTCCTTCTTACAGAGGGACCGAGTTTTGTTCCTCTTTGCCTGCCTGCCCCGCCCAACCCCACAACTTGATGACCAGCTCAGTAAAGAGTACATTGCCTGGTATTCATTAGACACTTGTTGAATAAACAAATAAGTGCATAGTTAAACTTTTTAAAGTATCTTCACATTTACATACTAAATATTGAAACTACTACAAACCTACACTGGGTTTTCAATTACCTATCTTCACGATACATTTTTTTGTACATGTGTACTGCACGTATACATGTACATGTACATATCTACATATATACCAGAATACCATATAGCATCTCTAGCATAATAAAAATAAACCTTAATAGGTCTAAAAATTTAAATACAAGGAAAATAGTTCATAAATTTAAATAAATTTCCAGGTGATAAAGAACAGACGTGAGAAGGCAGATGAGGAAAGTACTTGATTCATCCTTTCTACTAAATGCCACGTTACTATGCTCTGTGCCGAGTTAAGTCTTGAATGGGAAGAAAACAGGAGTAGATGGGAAAAATGAATATACAGCGTTTTAATCATAGAATTCAGCCCTTTCTCCCTCCTTTCTTCCTTCCCTTTTTCCCCATTGTTCCATTCATCTATCCATCCATAGATTCTATATATAGCAACTTTGCAGCAGTAGCACAGTAATATTGATAATTCAAACGGAAATATGTGATTGTATCAAATACTGACATTAAAACAATAGGTTCATTAAAAAAATTAGAAAACAACATTAGGATTTTAGTTCTTACTTCTGATATACTATATATATACCGGGGGTGCCAAAAAAAAGTATACAATTGGACACTTTGGTCAGTGTTGCTCAAGCAGTAGTTCGCCATAATCAGAAGTGTCTGGACGCTGATGGTAACCACTTTGCGCACCTCTTGTAATTGCAGAAGTCAAACGTGACTTGTATTTATCTTTTATTATTGGTTTATATTGAGTGTTACAATTTTCATACAGTTTTCTTTCCTGAAAATGTGTATATATTTTTTTTTTGGCATTCTCTGTATATTTAAAGTAAGAAGTAATAAGAAAGTAGGTTATTTGAGGACCTATAATTGTCCACTTCGCTCAAAGGCTGAGCTGTAATTCTTTGCATCAAGGCTCCTGAAGAAAAAAAACAACTAATTTTCTGATCTAAAAATTTGAATCTAGAGGTGAGTAATCACGTACTAATTGACATGAAAAGTGAATTGCAAAATGTCCTAGTTACAATTTTTAAAAATTACTTCCAAAGACTGTTATACCAGTCTTTCCTACAAATTTTAAAAACATAAACAGGAATTTGGGGCAAAATGTATATATCTCATAATAAACTGCTAGGACAATGATGCTTTCTCTAAATTTCTTCATCATACAAAAAAGAGTCAATTTTTTAAAAAATCCCTAATTATAATAAAGTCATTTTTGCATGTAAATGTTTATTTTTCCTCCTCTTAGAGGTGGTCTTCCCCTTTTTATTAAAAACAAAGCAAAACAAAAAAACAAAAACTGAATCAGACATTTGAAATGGGATTCCTAATAATCAATTAGTTGTATGTCAATTATATTATACCAGCTATATCAGGAAAGATTGTTAAATTTGTCCCAAAAGTGAATTCTAAGTTACAGGATCCAGTATTATTAATTGGGAATTGTTAACAAATAGTTACAGGGACTAAACATAAATCTTTTAATTGTATCACATGGAAAATTATCTCTAACTAACTTTTTAAAAACAGTTTTAGAATATGCAATGCATATTCACTCACATCATCACATTTAGTGCTTATCAGTAGGTATGATAAGGACATTTTCTATTTTAAAGAGGAGGAAAGGTTTTGTATTAATATATAGTAGTGACATACTTTTTCCATTAAATTGGGATATGTCCCAATCTAGTTATAACCTAAAAAAGAAATACACAAAAGGGAAATAGGATATGTAAAATTAAACAACAATGGATGGCGAATTAACTCAACAATATTTAACAAGCGTTTGTTCGTGTCAGCTGTGTGTTGTGAGGGTTCAGGTGCGAAAACAAACATTGGGGCAGTGGCCGCCAACGCCTTTAAAGCGGAGAGAAATGGAAAGGCAATCTAGGGAAAAGGAATCAAGTAAGAAAGTTATACAGCTGGGGTGAGGCAGAGACTATGAAGAACAAAGCAAAGAAGATGCTTAAATATTAGAATTAGATTGGTGACTTGCTGACAAATGAGTAAGAATGAAAGGACAGTGCTTCTTCTTGTGTTCGTAAGGTCCACAGCAGTGTGTTGGCACTTACTGTGTATTGTTGACTGGCCTGACCATTCTTGCAGGGAGAACTCCTACAGAGCAGGGTGGCGGCTTGCAGGATCCTACCCCATAATTCACCTCAATAACATGTTGAAACTAGAGGGTTCTAACACACCTCCCCTGACACCTCTCTCTTTAATAGCATGGCTACCTCCTCTCAGGTCATTGTGTCAGTAAGGCTGAGGTTTCCTTGTCTACAAAATGATGAGGTGAAAAAGACTCACTTTTCAGGTCTAAAGTACTATGATAAAATGACCTCCTGGTTATGTAGTATAAAGAAGTGCATGTCTTGGGCCAGCCAAGTGGTGCGTTGGTTAAGAGCTGGCTTGGGATGCCAGAGGGCCCCGGTTCGGATCCCACATATGAGGACCAGTGAAACTGCCCTCCGCAGCTAAGATGCTGAACAACAGCTCGACCTGGAGCTGGGCTGCTGTGAGTCACCGGCAACAGCGTAGGCTGCAGCCCCTGTGGCAGTGGGTTGCCATGGGCTACCGTATGTAGCCAGCAGTCAGCATGAGCGGCCAGCAGCTGCAATGAGCGGCCATCCAGAAGCCGGCGACTGATCTGTCTCATCCAGGAAGAGCACAATGATGGTGCCAACTTGGGTCAGTGAAGCAACGTCCTCCACAACTAGACTGAAGAACAAAACAACAGCAACTTATCTGTTCCTCTTTCCCCAATTCTCCAGGGCTGTTCCCCTTCCCCCAATTCCCCAGCGCTGTTCCCATCCTCCAATTTCCCAATAAAAATCTTAAAAAAAAAGTGCATGTCTTATAATTCTAGGTTGTCCATAAAGACTTCTGGGTGCTCTAGGACCTCAACTTGTCAAGTAAATGGGAAAAGCATTATTCTTTGGCATTTTTCTCTTATCATGGTTTTTAAAAATTTGGTTAGTTTATATTAATACATAAGTATATTGCAAGTTTCCCATTATACTATAATGTGACCCCACGGTGCAAATGCTTTTCTTGACTAACCAAACAATATTATTTCATAGTAATAAAACCTAATGCACGGTTCATTCATAAATTGTTTTTTGATCAGAGCCAGAGAAATATCTCCCATTTACAAACTTAATCTTAAGACTCTTATCCTTTACCATCTTCTATCATAATATATATAGATATGTCTTCCTCCCACCATTTGGAGGCAGGAACTATGTTTGAACAACATTGGTGCCCAGAAAAAAAAAAATCTTTGGACATAATAGGTACTTGATAAATACTTGCTAAATAAATGATTATGTTGATGATTATTAATGGAAAAGAAGCTAGGAGAACAAGAAAGAAGCAAGAGTTGGTGAATATTAATATGGTAATGAAAATGTCTTGGCCCTGTTTCACAAGATAAATGTAATTTTTTAGAAAATTCACCTAAAGTTGCCTCATATGTACAAAGAAGTCACCTCTCAGTGCTGAAAATATTGAAGCTGTCCATTTAATATGGAATTCTCATCTTTCACCAGATGAGGTTTCTGGAATCCAGCATAATTCTGACAGTGTTTTCCAGGAAGCACAAGAGCTTCGGAAAAGCAGATAAAGTGCTCTCTTCGCAGAGGAGGAGAGCAACATAAATTAGAGTATGGATAATAATGTAACAAACTGGAGAAAGTTCCTGTTTTTCGTTCCACCAGTGTTAACAATTTATGGCAAAGAATTTACACAACTCACCATAAACTGAATTAACTTAAAAACAAAGTTTATTTGTAAAAATAACCCCAAATAATTGAAGAGAAATGTTTAGTGTTACCATGCTAAGTTGTTAAAGCCAAAAAAAAGGAAAAAGAGGATGAAGTTAATGGAACCCACAGGCTACTGATGTGGCAGTTTATCAAACGTAGCTGTAATGAAAGATAAATAATACAGGCAATTCACACTTCATGAAAGGATAAAAGTGTCAGTGTGTAGGTACCAGTTTTACTGCAGGCCATAATCAGCAAGTAAACGAAAGTGCAATGTCTAAAAAGTTTATAGCCTTCTATGAAGGCCTCGTCTTGTCAGGTATTGATTTAGGTATTCAGACGACTTCACTGGTATTAAACAAATTGAGTGTTTGTGAACTTAGAGGACATGTTCTATTTTTCCCAACAAAAGTTGCCTCCAGCTTAATGTTAAGTTGCTTCCATCACTTAAATTTAAGGAAAGGGAAGAAAATGCTGAAATGATATCTTACACAATTATTTTCTTCTTAAATAGAGGGCAATCCAAAGTGAATGTTTCATACTCTCCACCTTCTCCACAAACATGGACTCCATATTTCCTAGAAAGCTGAAAATAAAAACAAAGAAACAGTAAGCTTAAAATCAGAGAGCGAAAATGCTCAATTAACATATTATTTTGTGCTAAAAATATCCATGTAAGAAACTTTAATTCCAAAACAGATTGCAAGCTACAGGAAAATAACTTTATATTTCTGCTTCAAACATGTATTTATATTTGATAAAAATGTTATCATAAAGCATAGGATTTTTAATAGTCCTAAAACCCTTACAAAAAAGGTGTAAGCAACCAACATTTTTGTGTATGATGAGAAAACAAAGGTTACTATAAATTTTTGGAACGATACTAGCGTTAGATTGAAAAGGGGAGACTAAAAAGCAAAGGTACTAAGTCATTATGTAGTAAATGAGAATGCATGCAGCCAAATTGTGGTTCTACCCTGCCCTTTGACCTGCATGTGGAAGGGAAAAAAAATATGTTGTATTGAGAGCATTTCTCAGGGATACAGATAAAGATATCTAAGGATTTTCCTTATGTTTGTGAACAAAAGAAGTCACAGACATTATGCTGAAGGTTATTAGTAGTAAAGTTCCAAGGGTACTGAGAACTGGTGAAGTTCCAAAGCCTTAGGAAGGTCTAACTTCAAGCAAGGTTGAGATAGCTTATCATGTCATCTAATTAAACCTGAAAAACAAAAAAGCAAGCAAAACCACCAAAACCCCTGGGATTGGTATTAAACATAAGGTATATTATTTAAATGATTCTGATACTGAGAGTAAAATAATTCTATTTGGCAGGTACCTGGCTGGAATCAGTGCTGGGGAGACTTGCCAGCTGTGTCAGAGCATCTTTCTGCTCCTGTGTCGAGGCTTTATCACTGCGATTCCATCTACTTCCTTCTGAATTTCATAGCTTTCCCTGCTTATAACCTCTTCTAGCCCTAAGTTCTCATAGCCCAAAGGAAGAGTGACTTCACTGATGTTCTCTGTTACTGCCAGTGCTGGGACTGGGGCCTAAGTCTTCCGTTTTAGCTGCTACTTATGCATTTATTTATTTGGTTATTTTTGTGGTTGTACTACCATTCTGAATCCATTACACTTCAGCGATTGACTATGTGCCTTTAGGGATTTAAAGCACGGGTCTAGGAGAATTCTACTGTTTCCTCCAAGGATCAGCAGTAATGTGAATGACTCTGTAAAGCCAAACAGCAAGAAAAGTGAGGGAGAGAAAATGGGGTGGCAATCTGTAAGAGCTCACTAGAGCAAAGCAGGCAGATTTTCCCCATGCTGGGTCATGCAGTAGAGAATCAGCAAAGCAGAATTATGGCAGTTGGTCCTGGGAGCAGATGATAGGAACATCAGTTTTCCATGTAACTACTGTGAAGATAAGCTTTTTTTTTTTAAGATTTTTTTTATTGGGGAATTGGGAGATGGGAACAGCACTGGGGAATTGGGGGAAGGGGAACAGACAAGTTGCTGTCCTTTTGTTCTTCAGTCTAGTTGTGGAGGAAGATAAGCTTTTTAAAAAAACATTTTGAACAGACATAAATGACTTGGGTCATTTCATGGCTTATAAGAATGTCTTGGAGTCTGAGCATTAAAAAGTGCATTCCTACTAAAGGAAAAGAAAATTACTTACATGATTCTATTTTTTTCTGACACATTTATATAGATAAATATTCATATTCATAACTCCATCTGACTGCTACTGATTATTGAACTGAAAAAGGTTACGGGCATCATGAGTTCCTTGTTGAATTTTTTATCCTTTTAAAAGATTATAATAACCATGACTGTGAGAATCTCATTTGTCTTCTTTTAACCCAGCCCCATTAATCTGTTAGTCATCTTAAAATTGGGGAAAACATAAGCAAAATGTAATTGCACTGCACCTTCACCCTGCCCTCAACCACCGAGAGAAAATCATGGGGTTTATAAAACCCGCCACAATTTCACTTTATAAATGATATGCTTACCATCCAAAATAATTTCATGTTGCATATAGGCATTCATAGCACTTATTCAAAAATCATTTGTTGACTATCTACTGTAGGCTTGGCATTGTTTTAAGTGCTGGGGATAACAATGGGAGCAGACCTCAATTTTGTATACAACAGCTTTGTGTCTGATGGTGGGGACAGGAAGTTAAGCAAGCCATCACAGTAAAGGGCAGGGGTAGCTTTGGTGCATGCATGAGATGCTGTGGAGTGTAAAGCAGGAAACCGAACTAGAAGGAACTCAAGAGGCTTCTCAAAGTAAGTGAAGTAAATAAAACTTAAGCTGAGATCTGAAGGATGAGTAACCAGAAAAGGCTGGAGGGAGTGAAGGAGGGGAAGTGGGAAAGATGGAAGACAAGAGAGAAGGAAAAAGTCTTCCAGAAGGGAGAGCGTATGTTAAGTCCCAGAGCACACGATGGGTACTAGAAATTGAAGTAAGTTTGCCATCGCTGGCGCATAACGAGATGAGTGATCGTGGTAGGACGGGTTTTATGGGGCTTCATAAACCACGCGAAGTCATTATCCTAAGGTCAAGTAAGAGCCCATTGATAGGTTTTAAACGGAAAACTGACCTGATTGCATTTGTCTTTTAGAAACACTCTGCACAGTGGAGAAAGGGCTGGTGAGGGGTATGTCCGGAAGCAGAAAGAGCTGTGAAGGGGCTGGAGGAATCTAGGCGGGAGGTGAAGTGAGGGCGGAGAGGAGAGGGCAGACATTTTGAGAGATTCATAGGAGGTTGAGATAATGATTCATTGAATAGAGGAGTAAGAAAACTTAAAAAAAAAATGAGGAAAATTCCCAGCTCTCTGCATTGGGAAACGGGTGAATTGTGGTTCTGTCTGCTGGTATCTCAGCATGAGTAGCAGTTTGCTGGGAGAGTCCAATGACCTCATTCTTTTCAAATCTTCTGTGGCGTGTGACACCACTGTCTCAGATCTTTGCGATTATTTTCCTCAGGCTTCCATGTTATTGAACTTTCTAAGCTATTGTTATGCTTCTCTGGCTCTTTTCCCTTCTGCTGCTCCTAAGTTATAAATACCCCTCATATTCTCTCTGTAAGATGCTCTTCTCTCTCAATTTATTCCCTTGGATAGTTCATGCCCTCCGTGGATTCAAGCATCACCTTTATGCTATTCTGCTGCTGCTGCTAATACTAGCACTATCACTACTAATACAAGACTAGTTGCTTTATGCCTTAAAGGTAAGAAAATGATATAATTATTTAATCCTCGAAATGACTTTTAAGAATAAAAAAGAATATAGTCTTCAGATAGATTTAAGGCATAAATTCTAGTTCTGCTACTTTCCAGCTTTGTGACTTTGACAAAGTAACTCACCCTCTAAGTGATTCCTCATCTATAAAATATAAACATTAACTCCAGCAACCTCATAGGTTTGTTAGAGGATTAAATAAAATAATGCATAAAAGCACTTAGCACATAATATGGCACTTAGTAAGCACTTCATAAATACACGACTTAACTGGAAGAGTAGGTAAGGAACATATGTAGTGAGGCACAATGAAAGCCGCGTCGCATGCATAACTGGTTAAAAGCAGTAGCTTTGGGGACCGACAGTCCTCGGTTTGAATCCTGGCTCTCTCACTTTCTAGCTGATCTGTAAAAGGGAGGTGACATAGTACCTACCTCAAAGGAGAGCTGTTTCCAGGAATAAAATCATATGAAAGGAAAGCCTCATGTACTGTCCACATATAATATATACTCAGTAAAATAGCTATGAATTTTATTTTTCCCTTTTCCAGAGGGAAGAACTAGATTGATTTGCAAAGATTATGTAGCTTTGAACTAAACAAAACCAGAATTTAAAGTCATGTCTTGACTCTCTACAATATGATGATAAAAAACAAACCTTAGTCTGTAGGCTGAATATCTCAATTGTGCCCCAACCCCATAGTTTAAAGACATATGAGTATGCCTTTGGTTTAGGTTCTTTAAAAGTCTCAGTAGGTTGAAGACCAAGTTACCATGTTCTTTCTCATCCCTGCTTTCCTCTGCAAAAATCTGTGCTTCTAATCTCCCCAATCATTATGTGTGGGCTAATCTTTGATTCTTCCTTTTCCAGCTTCTGGCAATTTGGTGCCAATTTCTTTTTCATTCTTTCATCAAAATCTTTCTTTCAGTTTTGTTCTATCGCTCCATCCCTACTGTCAGCGGCTTTAGACTCCAAACCTTCACACCTGTTTCCTACAAGAGCATCTTACACACTTTTTCATTTCTAATGTCTTCTACCCCAAATCCGTGAATACTGCTGCCAGACTAAATTTCCTGAGGTATCTTTTAATAATATAAATCCCACTGATGAGCCACCTATATCTTATTTCTTACCCCAAATCACCCAGCCAATCTCGAAAGGCCCTTTATGATTAGGTCCTATAGATTCCCACCTCACCTGTTTCTTATTCCTCTATCAATACCAGCTCTTAGTTTCATTTAAACCAAGTCCCTCATTGTCCCTGCATGTATTCTTGCCAGGAAACCTTCATTGCTATTGACTCACGTTGTTGCCACCAGCCATGTAAACTTCACCCAGTTCTTCCCAACAGTTTAAGTACTAACCCTTCCATGATACAGTCCTTAGCTCCCCCATCTTCCATCTTTTAGCTCCTGATTACATTTATAGTAAATACCAATCTGGCTTTATCTGAGCCAAGTTTTTAGTGCTCCCCCACCCCCCAACTTGTTAGACTCTACATTCCATGAAAAATTCCAAATCTTTGGCTTATTTTGTACTCCTTACAGCAGTTAGCACAAAACTGGGCACATAAGGAGACTTTAAATACATATGATTCAATTTTATTAGTATCACATGCCACCACCAATTAAGAGTTCATCTATGACACATACTCAGAGAAATGTGAGGGACATGTTAAAGGTCACACAGTGAAACAGCCACTGACTGTGGAGGACCTTCCCCTCATCTCTTTAGAAACAACAATCAATGGACACTACTGCCAGGTCAAATTCCTTAAAATATACCTTTAAGAATTTTACTCTCTTCCTCTAAAACCTTCAGGGTCTCGTCATTGTTTAGA